GAATTTTCTACAAAAACATTATTAAATTATTAATTTATACATAGAAAATTCATAAATGCTAAAATAACAATGAATTTAAAAGAAAACCTTAATAATTCTATTTTTATGAGTTTTTCTGCTTTTTCTAATATATTTTCTTTTTCAAATGGATTAAAGTTACAGTAAAATACTAGTCAAAATTTGAATTCATCAAAACTATCCAAAAACACCACAATTTTTTATGAGTTAAGAACTCATCAAACTAAATTCTTACGACTTATTTTTCTGGTAATCTTTAATTTCCTTAGTGATGAATTTGATGTCAATATTCAATTTTAGTTTCTTTCCACTTTATATTTTTCAAATTAGTTTTATTAAGGAAGAAAAATGATAAACTTAATCCCTAACCCATTGTAATGAATTAACTACTTGAATCCAATCTAGATTTTGAACCCCAATTAATGTTTTCCATCCTACACTTAATACTTCTTTGTTTCTAAGTATTCAAGGATAAAGAAAAAGAATCATTCAATTAGGAGATTGCAATCATTCTTGGGCTTGGATAGAATTGCATATTTATGAATTATCTAGGAATAGGAATTTATAAATGTGAGATCACTTTGATTTCTACACTTAATGCTAACCCTCTTCTCGATTACCTAAGGAATTAAGAATTTAAAAGTTAGTTTAGAACCAATTAACCAAAGATTTGGGATTAGGTAATTCAAAAAATCTGATCATTAACTTGGAATTAAATTTTGGATTATACATGAATCTATATAAGGGAAAAAGATTAAGGAAATCTGAACTCAACCTACATTTCTAATCAAATTACAACTCAATTTTCGTTCTCATAGCTTTCTTTACTCTTCAATCCAATATAGTTTCATAATCAATTTTTTGCACATTATTATTACTCTTCAAGTTAATTAAACTTGGTTATTCATTTCTCAATTTATTGAGTGTTACAATACAATTGATTTTCTCTTATTTCCATATTTTGGTTTATACTTAACTAGCATAATTCTTATGAAGTGGTACTTGAATTATTTATCTCAGTGGATAATATTTTTGTTACTACATGCGATTTGGTGCATTTACGAAATTGTTTATAAGATAGTCTATGTTGTGTTTTGCATAGATGAACCTTTGGTATATCTTGCAAATCGATCTTTAGTTTGTTTGTAAGTTATGACCTCCATTTCTACATTGTATAACTCAAAATTTGCCTTTACAATTCGGCATTTGCTATTTATCTTTAATTATTGGTCATTATATTCTTTGTTATGGTCCAACCCCTACATTAGAGTGTAGTGGCTAATCTATCTTATGGTTGGATAGATAAATTTTTTTAATTTTATATTTTCTTTAACAAAGGTTGTTGAATATAAAAAAATTAGTATTAAGTAAACACTTAATTATGCATTTATTCAAAATAAACTCTTATTACATTAGGTTTATGTTATAAATTTGAGCATAATACTTACTAAAATAACTACAAAAATTGTTTTCTTATAATTTATATATGAAGAGTTTAATTAAAATAATTTTAAAAAGGTTTATAAAAATAACAAACTGTTTTCATACCAAAAAGTACTTCCAAATACTCTAATTCTTCGTAGCAATAAAAAAAAAATCTAATTATTCACGATAAGATTTGATGATTAATATTTATTTAGAAATATAATTTTTAATATATATATATATATATATATATTATAGTTAAAATTTATTAAAAATTATAAAATTAAAACTAAAAAATATTAAATTAAAAGTAAGGACCTGTAATTTTATAATTTTTAATAAATTTTAGTTAACAAAAAATGTGATAAAAAAACGTGTTAAAGAGTGTGTTATTAATATTTTTTTTTATTAATCTCACATAAAAATAGTTTTTATCATTTATTATATTTCCTACGTGTGTGTTTTAGGCAACACTTTGGGTGAATGATTTGTCATAATTTTTCTTCAAGACCTAAAGCTTAACCAGTATGACACCATGCGTGCATCCACAGTGGAAGAATGTACAAATTGCTTGCAAACATATACTACTCGCATAACTCATTTATTAACACACTAGCAATTATACCAGAGATGGTATATATATCCTTACTACTATCTTGTACAAAGATGGAGAACATTTCCATAAAAACAAGGCTACTCGTATCTTGCAAGAATGCATCAATTTGATTAGGTGTATAAATTTGAAAATACATTGAAACACAATTTATAAACGTTGTCTCAATATAAAAAGCTAAAATTAGTAGTATTAAAATAAATATCAATCTATGACCATTAAAATATTTTTTTTGTAAAAGTAAGGGCTATCCATATCTTACAAAATTATCAAATGAACATTTGAAATTAAATACGTTAAAAAATTAAAACGTTGATTTAACACAGAAATTAAAATTAGAATTATTGAAATATATTCTTTAAACGTGAGTTCAAACATATATCAAGTGCTTATTTGATTCATATTAAAATAAATATTTTTATAAAAGTAAGGGCTATTCATATCTTAAAAAATGCATGTTTCATCAAGTGTACATTTGAAAATACATTAAAAAAAAACTTTAAACGTTGATTTAATACAGAAACTGAAATTAGAAACATTGAAAATATACAACTATTTAAACTTGAGTTCAAACATATATTAAGTGCGTATTTGATTCCTATTAAAATAAATATTTATATAAAAGTAAGGGTTATCCATATCTTAGAAAAATGCATATATTTTATCAAACGATACAATTGAAAATACGTTAAAAAAATCTTTAAACATTGATTTAACACAGAAACTAAAATTAAAAATATTCAAATACATATGAATATATGACTATTTAAACATGAGTTCAATCATATATTAAGGGCGTATTTGATTCCTTATTTCAACACTGTTAATAATAATTTTTGTGTTAGATTCACGTTTTGTAAATTTTTTAATATATTTTTAAATACACTAAGTATATATTTAATTATGTGATAAAATCACATTGCATGCATTCCAATACCATTGAAATTGTAGTTAGATGGATGTGATGTAATTAATTTTCACTCTGGACAAACAAAGTTAAAGAAGCTCCTAACATTAAAACAATCAAACCCTAAAAATAGCTCCTAAGTCCTAACTCTCGCTAACTCACTGTAGTCGAAGTGTCTGTGTTCTCAATCTCGACATCTAATAAAGAGAGCATATCTCAACAATTGAGGGAGTTGCACAGGATTTGGAGCCCATCATCTCATCACCACTATATTTTAAATGAGATTTTATTTTGATTTATGCTAATTAACAATTAGTATAACTTTTCTAACGTCAACGTATGACTACATTAACATTTATCTCCAAGCTCTCACTCATGACATGAATAACTGAATACTCATTAAGACTTTTCAAGTAATTTTTTTTAATAACTTTAGAGATAACTTTTAATTGTTTTGTTTACCCTACTTTGAGTGAATTTTGAGACATGTGTATAAAAATAAATTTAAAATAGAAATAATTATATAAAAGATTACATACAATGTCAAATTTTAATTATTTAACAGGTAGGCTTTCCACAGGGCATGCATTTTGGTCCCCTTTATTTGATGGTTGTTTGGGTTTGCTGGACATTTTTGTGTGTACCTCAAAATGCATATGGATCAAATGTCAGAAATACCTTCACAACAATTTTAGTAAGATTTTTGAGAGTTAACATGCATAATGTTGAGAGAATAAGGAATTGCTCAGGCAGTGGATGAAATCTAGTCTTTTGATTTCTCCATATTAAGGGAATAGTTTTGCATAGATATCATTGGTGTTTCCTAGGAATTATAGCTCGTAACCTCCGCAGAGGGAATAAACTCTTTTCTGTCCTGTTCTCTGCTATTAGAGTCCAAGTTGGTTGGAATTTTTACACAAATTTGAGAAATAGGCAACAAATAAGTACTCTTTATGAACGACATTTACAAGGCCTATAGTTAACAACTTTCACTGTTGACAAATTTTGTTCTTCTCTTTATTACATTGACCACAGATTTACTTATACCTGCTTATTCCAAAAAAACAAAATTGTTTCAACTCATTTATTCGGAACTTGCCTAAACCGTTTGCTCTAGACAAAAATGTGTTGATTAACCTTCACTGAATACTGTAGCTTAATTTGTCTTTCTTTAGGATGAGTTAATGCAAGTTCATTTATTAGTTTTTGTATAACTCTGTATATATAATATCATGTTTACTCTAACTTTTTTTTAAGAAGAAAACATTTACAAATTGGATTAAATGTTACCTTAATTTTTATAAAACTATATTTTAAAAAATATATATTTTTAAAAATATTTTTTCAAGAGTTTTTCTCAAATTCTGTTTGACCCAAATTTTCTTTTTAAAAAGAAACCAATCTGAAAAGGCTGGCCAAAAGCTACCTTATTTCATTTCATTTTATTCTTGCCAACTTGATCGATAAAGAAAGCTTAATCACTAAAAAAAAAAATAAAAATGCTTAGTCACTTGACTTCATATTTTGTATTAGGTGGAAACGATAACCAAATAACGGTTACTTTTATGTGAATTTTTTGCTCTCATTCTTTCAGGAGAATTTTCTCCATTTGAGTAGCCTCAGCACTCTCATTTGATCACTGCTCTATAACACATGGAAATGAGAAATTAGTCCATAATAAACTTTTGTAGACTTTGATAAATTCAAAGCATTATTTTGGACACTTCTCAACTTAACCTTGTCTTACATATTGTGCCGGATGATTTTGTTTATACCTCCAAAAAAGCAAGCTTTTTAGCTATAGGTTAATGGTTTCGTGGGGTGTGGGCAAATTGAGCTTGTTTTACGTTTATGTTATCATCGACATTAATTTGTCCCGGTTCCAAATTTAAGTTAAAACAACAAAAGGACAACTTGAGCATAAAACAAGTGTTTTTTGTAACTTTGTAGGATATATAGATAAGTCACAACTTGAAACTTTCCAGTAAATTGCAGTGTTGTCTATATTGGCTTTTGCTGCTGAAGAACAGGAGTGCAATGGAGCTTGCACCTGTGAAATCTGAACTAAGCACAAGAAATCACAGATTGCTCATGATGGATGGTGTTGAGGTTATTGCCACTAAATGTGTCAAAAGAAGGCGAAGAGATTCATCTATGGCAGTGTTAGGGGGCAATGAACAACAAGGTGAACAGTTAGAAGAACAGAAACAAATGAGTGGCCAATCAACTGCCACCACTGTTAAGAGAAGCTCAAGGTTTAGGGGTGTTAGCAGGCATGTCATATTCATAAACATCTTATTCTGTTAGTTTTAACTTTTTCCTTTTTTAGTTATGCTATTTGAATGTCTAGAAACTAACACAATGTGACACCATATACAATTATCTCTATTTCTATCTTACTATATCTTTTTCATGTACACGCATCTAAAAATTAATCTCCAAAATCATAGGGGAAACGAAAAGATGTCCTACCTTTGATGTACAAAAAACATTTTCTTTTCTTTTTTTTCCTTTGATGTGAGGGACTGATTTTTGATTTGAAGCTAATTGTATCTTCCTGTGAAGCAGACATAGATGGACTGGAAGGTTTGAAGCACATTTATGGGATAAAGGGACCTGGAATCCCACTCAGAAGAAAAAAGGAAAGCAAGGTAGGTTCTGAACTTGCCATTCACTTCACTTTCATTGGCTATTTATTATATTTATTATTATTGCTTACACCTTGTTCATTGAATGGTGATCCTGGTTGTGAATGTGAATTTGTTGCTTTGCTGGTTTGGAGCAGTATATTTGGGTAAGTATTTCAGTTTTTTAATTCCAATAATATTTTCTCTGAATAAAAGAATAGAATAGAAATTGACCTTCTGGGATTCTTTCATGCTATAATCAGGAGCTTACAATGATGAAGAAGCTGCTGCTAGAGCTTATGATTTGGCGGCACTCAAGTACTGGGGAACAACAACTTTCACAAATTTCCCTGTATGTGTTTAGTCTAAAAACTGAGCAAGTTTTATTGTTGATGAGTAGCTCGGTAATTTCCAAGTTTGTATTTTTGCAGGTATCTGATTATGAGAAAGAAATTGAGATAATGAAAACTGTAACCAAAGAAGAGTATCTTGCTTCATTGAGAAGGTAATCCCAATATTTCAGGAAATACTGCCATTATAACATTTTGATATTTCCCAAGTTCTATATCCTTTTTCTGTTTTCACTATAGGAGGAGCAGTGGTTTTTCTAGAGGTGTATCAAAGTATAGAGGAGTGGCAAGGTGAAATACTTTCTAAATTATGCATTCAAACATATCTTTTGTTTCCAACAAAGAAATACATGAAGCTTAGGTAAGTCTGAAACCTAAATACAGGCACCATCACAATGGAAGATGGGAAGCAAGGATTGGGAGAGTGTTTGGCAACAAGTACCTTTACCTTGGGACTTACAGTGAGTTTTTACATTCTTAACTCAAGTCCCCATGTTTTCCATGTAGAGCACAATTCAAATAACATTTGTCATTTCACTCTACATCCATGTCTAAAATAAGATGAATTTTGGGAAACAGTGTAAAGGATTAGAACTTAGATAGTAGGCTATAGGTTAACTAGTCAAACTCATTGTCATAGTAGGCTATAGGTTAACTAGTCAAACTCATTGTCCTAGTATTTTAAATATAAAGAACTGCTACCTTATATTGTGCTCAATGGCTTCTAAAGGTACACAAGAAGAGGCAGCTAGAGCTTATGATATTGCAGCAATTGAATACAGAGGCATAAATGCAGTGACAAACTTTGACTTGAGCACCTACATCAGATGGCTAAGACCAGGAGCACATTCTACTGCTTTTCAAGAGCAAAAGCCAAGCACAGACCCTCAACACTTTGCAACCTCTAACTCAATGCAAACCAGAGGAAACACTGAGTTATCCAACTCACTCATCCATTCATTCTCCACAAATGAATTGGACAGTGACAAGAAGCAAGGCTTTTCCAAGTATGTGACTCCTTTAAGTCCTTGCAACAAGTCATCTTCCCCAACAGCATTAGGACTTCTCTTAAAATCCTCAGTGTTTAGAGAATTGATGCAGAGAAATCTGAATACTTCTAATGAAGAAGCTGAAGAAGTTGAATTAAAATACTCACGAGAGGGCAATGATGGGATTGGAGGAGGGATTTATGATAATGACAACACTGGTACTTACTTGTGTTCTAATATCAACAACAGATTACCAAACTTGGAGTCATCAGAAGAGAGATCATTGCCTATGTATCATGGAAATGTGCAATCCCTATGGAATGGTGCTTTCAACATGCCTAACTGATCACTTTTGTTATCTTTTTTTGCTGTTAAGAAACACAGTTGGGAACTTGGGAGAAAATCTCTCCCTTCTTAGCATACTAGTGGATGTCAAATAATTGCTAAGATGTGCATACCCGCACTTCAACCTTGACTGTTCATAAATCAACAATAACATGAATGAGTTGATTTTAATAATTTGATGTGAAGTGGGTAAATTTTTTTAAGAATATTATTTAATCTTGTACTGTCTGTTGACGAAAAAGTCAAATACAGGAACATGAAGTGCCGAAGTCATTAATATTAGGCTTAAATATGTTTAGTTTTCATATTCTAGTAAAATTTTTATTATATTAAAATAATTTTTTTATTTTAGTCCTTAATTTTTTATAAATTTTTATTTTTAGTCTCTAATAGTGACTGATCCATTAAAATACTGCAACATGTCAAATTTTTATTTGACCATGTTAGTATTAGGGATTAAAAATAAAAATTTATAAAAAATAAGAATTAAAAAAATTGTTTGAAAAGATTAAAATATAAATTTTTTTAAAATATGAAAACTAAAAATATATTTAACCCTTAATATTAATTTTTGAAAATTTTATGCTTTTGCACACAGTCACTCGTCACTAAAATTCAAAATTTTGGAAAGGAAAATCGTAACTAGTATCTTTAGAAATCAAAGAGTAAAAAGCTTTTATTTAAAAATTATATTAAAACTTAATTTAGATAAGCTTATGCAAAAGTACTTATAAAATAAGAAAATAATAGGTAAGATAACTAAAATATTTTTTATAAGTTAAATAAATTTATGCATTGTATACTTTGAAGAAGTTAATTGAAAAAACTTATAAAACAGTACAAGAGAATAAGTTAATTTTAACTTCTAGAAGAAGTTTGATGAATTTTACTTCTTTATTTTTGCTCTCATAAATATTTATTTAAAGATAAGTTAATTTTAACTTATAAAAAAAGTTTGATTCATTTTTCATCCTTATTTTTGTTTCTCATAAATACTTATTGATCATAAAGTTAATTTCGATGGACCTAATACACTTTCTTTTGTGATTGATTTTTTCTTAAGACGCCTTGAATATGTTTGATGACTTTTTTGATAAATGTAACAATCCTGGTATCTTTTGAGTTTTAGCTATTATTTCTTTTAATGGGTTGTAAAAGAGAGTTATGAATTATTATAGTGAGTTATAAATAATTATGTTCATGAGCCTTAAAAGTTGATAAGATATTTTTCTTTGATATATATTGTACTTTATATTTACAAATTACAGTAATAGAAATATCTTAATATGCTCATGGATGTACGATAAGTTCATATTTTGATATATTTTATAACTTATATTTATACATTTAAACTCTATTTTATATATATTTATATTAATTATGTTATTAATTATTGCATTTTAGCTAGAAGTTGTTATTAGTGCATTATGAAGTTATTCTGGATAAAAATTAGATATTTTAGTTCTTGACAGTGCTATGTAAAGTTGAGTTTAAATTTTGAATTTAAAATTTAAACTTAGATATGAAGATTTGGAGTGATTCTGATTGTGAATAAAATCGATTTGAAAAGATAGAGCTTAACCGACTAGAAACTCAGGCCACGACCTATATAAAGAGGCCTTATGCTCCACACTTGACACTTCGACTTCTCTATACACCTTCTTCCTCTTCTTAATTCTAACCAAACTCATCTTTGAGAGTCATTGGAGATCATTGGCAAGGATGACGAGCGTCCCCTTGGAGTCTAAGCAAGTGATTGAGTGCCCTTCGGAGAACGAGAACTCTCTTCATCTAATACTTTTATGGGTTTCTTTTGTTTGAGTTTTCCTTTTTGGCTATGAGTTTATTTATCATGTTCTTCGTAGTTTATTTTCTTATGAGTAACTAAACCCATATCTAGAGTTATAGCGGATCCTACTACAAATTTTGTGTGATTTTTACTTTAATGTTGATATTAATTTTCCTTTAATGTTTGATTTTTATTTTATTGGATTATATTGTGTATGTTAAGATTTGATCACCCTTAGCACTCCATAGTTAGTTGCATTGTAGGCGATCGTACCACGTGTAATTAATGGAACTATAGGATAAAATGAGATAAGGGGCTAGGTTAATCACACTTAATTCCTTCCTTTCAGCCGTTATTGAATTAACAAACTCATAAGATCTTCATACTTTCTCGACCAATTACTTTGCATGATCATTGGAAGTATTTACTTAGGAAAAAAAATATTGACATTACATAATTATTGGGTGTTAATAAAACTAATTATGAGTGGTGGCAAATATTTGGATACCAATATCATGATTAAATTAATTAGAACACAAAGAAGTGTAGTAGGTGAACCTATAAATCCTAGGTTGATCTCATTTGATCTCTCTCATACATTGTATTACTGGTTTTTTAATTTATTGTTAAAATTAAGCTCTGTTTTTTATCTGTTACAATCCCGTTACGTTTAAACAATCAAATTAAGTTATTCTTGGTACTTGAAAATAATCTCTGTGAGACGATAAATTAGGAACTCTTAATTCAAAAATTCTTTATTACTTTTTGATAGGTACATTTGCTTACAAATAAGTTTTTGGCGCTGTTGCTGGGGATTAATTCTCAATATCAAAGAAAATCAAGTATTTGGTTGATTTAAACATTCTTTTTTATTTTATGCTCATTCGTTCTAAACTTATTGCAGAACTCACTTTTGATCCATAAATCGAGAAGACTGCACATAGGCTAAGAAAGAAGTGTAGAGAAAAGAAAAAGACGGCAGAAGAACGACCAATCTTGGAGCACATGACACCCACTGCTGAGGGTGATGCCAGGAGCATTGTAGCACCTGACATAAAGGCCAATAATTTTGAATTAAAATCGGGCTTGATCAATCTAGTCTGGAACTCCACACTATTTTCGTGGCGACCTGATAAAAATCTCCACCTTCACTTGAAAAAGTTTCTCCAACTCACTGATACCATCAAATACAATAGTGTCACCAAAGATATTATAAGACTTTGCCTCTTTCCATTCTCTGTCATGGAAAGGGTGAATGTATGATTCTCCACACTTTTATCTAATTCAATTACAACGTGGGATAGCCTGACACAACAACTCTTAGCCAAATATTTTACACCATCACTCTCTGCGAAGCTAATGACAGAGATCTCCAATTTTCAACAATATGAGTTTGAATCTCTGTTTGAGACGTAGGAACACTTTGGAGAACTTATAAGGAGATGTCCACATCATGGTTTCCCTGTGTGGAAGCAAATGCAGATTTTCTATGTTGGACTCTCATCTTCTAATAGAGCTACAGTTGATACAGTTGCTGGAGGATCCTTCCTATGCAAGGGGCCAACTGCAGCCCATACATTGATAAAAATGATAGTATCTAGTAATTTCCAATGGTATATAGACCATCATAGAAGTAAAAAGAAGGAAGCTGTTCCAATCTACCAGGTAAAAAGTAGCAATTCAATAACAAATAAGCTAGAAACTCTATTAAAGCAAATTAGAATTCTTACTACGGGCATAAGATCCATTAGCAAAACCTTCAAAGACCGAGGAAGCTAACTTCTTAGGCAACAGTTACAATTTTGGATGGCATAGCGAACTCATAGAAGAATAGCTAATGAGGTTAAAATTCAAATGTTTATTGACCTCCTCATATGCAATCTTAGGGGTTAAGGACAGAAAAGAGAGAGCCCTCAACCATTCAATTGGAGCAGAGAATTTCAAAGCTTGAGTTCCAAATAAAACAACAAAGTCTTTAGATAGAGCAACAAGCCCAAATAATGGACAAGAAGTTTTCAAAAATAAGCTCTGATACATTCGAGATAAAATCACAATTGGGACAGTTTACAAATTTGTTGACTCAAAGAGCACTAGAGACATTGCCCTCCCAACCTGAGCCAAATCCCAAAAAACATGCCAAGGCAATTACATTGAGAAACGAGAAGATGTTGCCTGAAAACATGCCAAAGTCGCAGAATACCGCTGTATGCATGCCTGTGCTCCCTCACATGCATGGCTACGCTGATGTCGCAGAAGCAGAACAAGAAAAGAAATAAGCACCATCAACAATGTTCGGGCCTTAAGAACTTTGAATCCCTTTTATGCAAAGGTTGAGAAGCAGTCAGAGTGACCCACAATTCAACAAATTCCTTGAAATTTTGAAGAAATTGCACATCAATATACCCTTTGTGCAGGCCATCTCTCAAATGCCCAAATATGCTAAGTTTCTCAAGGAAATATTAAGCAATAAGAGGAGGTTAGAGGAATTTAAAACTGTAAGGCTTAATGAGGAATGCTCCGCAATCCTTTTGAAAAAGCTACCCCAAAACTTAAAGACCCAGAACGTTTTACTATTCCTTGTACTATAGGTAGCTCTCATTTTGATAAAGCCCTATGTGATTTAAGGGCTAGCATAAAGCTAATGTTTCTCTCTGTTTTTAGAAGGTTGGTATGCAAGAACCCAAGCCTACCTCTGTTTCTTTACAGTTAGCAAATAGATCCATTACTTACCCAAGGGGTATAGTAGAAGACGTCTTGGTAAATATAGACAAATTCATCTTCCTTGCAAATTTTATTGTACTAGACATGGAGGAGGATAATGAGGTTTCCATTATTCTAGGGAGACCATTCTTAGCTATTGGGAAGACCATTATAGCCGTCCAGCAAGAGAAGCTCACATTGAGGCTAAACGATGAAGAAGTTGTTTTTAAAGTTTTTGATTCTCTTAAACACCCTTCTAGTTTTGATTCCTATAATTTTATTTCTGTAAATAATCTTTTTTCCTCTTTAGACTTTGTACAATTAATTGATAGGTTGAGGAATGATACTATAGAGAAAATTCTCACACTTGAAAAAGATGCTTTAATAGAAATAGAGAAAGTAATAGATGAAATTTTGGCTTTGGAGAGTGGGAATCGAAGTTAATGGTTGGCGCCTAGGCATTTTGAAAGCTTAGGAGCACAAGATATTTGAATTCCTAAATCATCCATTGA